AAAAATATATTAATACAAAAGACAGTGTTTTAACATTTGTCCAAGTGCAAATATCCTTGACTTCTGATTTTGGTAATAGAAAATATTATCACTAATTTTGTCAAACTGATTGGCTTTAACCTCTGAATCATCTAATACTATTTTTAAAACTTGTTATAAGTATAACCAGGCATGGTGGTACATTCTTATAATCCCAGGACTAAAGAGGCTGAAACAGGAGTATCTTGAGCTTACTTTTTTCACATTTATGTATTTATTTGTTTGTTTGTTTGTTTATTTATTGAGGAGGAATGCATGTATGCCGTAGTGAGCACATGGAGTCAGAGAACACTTGGCAGGAGTCTTCTCTCCTCCCACCACACAGGGTCCAGGATCAAAGGCAAGTTGTTCAGGTTTGGCATCAAGCACCTCTACCCACTGAGCCATCTCAATGAGCCAAGATCTTAAATTTGAGGTCAGCCTACAGGACACAGTGAGTCAGAGTCTTTCCAAAGGAAGGGAGAGGAGGAAGGAGAGAAGGAAAGGGGCTGGGAGTGGAAGTGGAAAGAGGGAAAGAGAGGAAAGGGAGGGGAAGGGAGGGGAGGGGAGGGGAGGAAAAAAATGACTGGTGAAATAGGAAAAAAATCCATCCTGGATTATATGTACAAATAGATACACAAAATGAGAACCAGAGATGATGCTTGAATTATGCCTAATCACTAGAGATATAAACATAATTCATGAATGACTCAAATTAGTCCTGTTTGAAACCACTTTCCCATATATGGATGATAAGAATTTATGATAAGCAATGAAGGAGACTTCTTTTTTTATTCTCCTTCTGAGGCAAATGCAAGTAAAAATGAAAATTCTGCTTACGAGAGACAGAGAAAAACCAAATCTACGTAATTTACAAAAGTGTAATCGTCCAATTACTTCAATTTTAGATAAAGACTGGCTCTAATTGTTAGAAAATAAAAGAAAAATTCAGTGTTTCAAATCCCAGCAGCATTTTAGATGTCATACAAATTGTCAAGAAGGCACCTCACACTCATACACACTGGCATGCCCAAGCAGAGGACGAAGTTCCTGATTTAATTAGTGACTGAAAGCAGGGATTGAAAAGGCCTACTGGGCAGATGGAGATCCTTACCCAGTGTGGTTCCCATGGTGACTGCTGATAGATGATCAAGCATCCAGCAGTACTACCTTTCCTGGCATCAGAAACCTGATGTCAGTTATATGATGTTTTCTAGTAGCATCTGGGCTGAGCTGTTAACCTTCCACATAATTAGTTGCTGCTTATTATATCCTTATGAATCCCCATTTCACAGGCTCTAGATCTCTGGTTTTATATTACCTTATATTTCTGTTTATATTACCACCCTACATTGATATTATTCCCATCATTCTCTATCTCCCACATTTTATTCTGTTCACCATATTGCTTGAAAATTCTTCCCCATTTGCCTCTATTAGAAATCCCTATGAGATCAACACTGTCGTATTGTTCACAGTTATAACATAAAAAAGAACAGTGACTGGTAGATAGTTGGGGGCCCCTCAGTAAATACTTGCTTGATAAATGAATAAATAGACAAAGAGCAATTGTGTAGAAAAGACCCTGTTCTCTTTATGTACATTGAAGTTAAGGAGCTAGGAAATATTAGTTAAAAATGGAGACTAAGACAGAGGCACTGATGATCTGAATATAACCAATGAAAGTAAATGAACTGGTGGGAATGGGTAGATTGGTTCAGTAAGCAAAAAAGGGCTGGGAGAGAGGAGAATGGGACTTTGCTGAGAGTCCCGGAGAATACCACTTTTTGAATGAAAGGTACAGAAGAGAACTCGATTAAATGCATACAGATAGAATAAACTTAAGGCTAAAGCTCCGAGGAGGCAGATAGCTAGTGGATCCCTAAACTGCAAGAAAAACCTACTCAGTGAGGAGCAGAAGGAAAATGGTGACGACCTGTGAAAACCAGTTGCTGTGGAATGGGGAAGAGAAGCCAGACCACAGCAACCTTCATACAGGCTTCACCCAACAACTTCAACAGTGGAGAGAGCGAGCCAAGGTCTACCTGCATGTCGCCTAAGCTTCAAGGAAACACCCCGACTATGTGTTGAATAAACAAGTGTATGAGTGTATTGATGGATAAGTAGATAGGGTTTTCTGTCTAGGACCAACATGATCCATAAATTGTGGATGAAGTCATAGAATTCAAAGAGTAAACAAAGATAGCATAAGTTGGGTAAAAATACTTCGGTAACCAAATTAGATTTACTGAGCAATTTTGTCTCAACAAGAATGCAGAGTGTGTTTTGGGAACTCATGCTTAATGAGCCCTATGTCTTTCATTTGTTCTCTGTTGTTTATTTTTGTTTAAGGTACATTCTTGTTTAATGGAGCTGTTAAAGAGTTACCTTGAAGTAACTTTGTCTGAATGGGACCTGAAACTTGTTTTTATGGGACCGAGGGCCTCTGCTGTGCTCCACAGATCGCACTTGTCAGTTATGCCAGAGGCCATTCTAATGCATAAAGGAATGTCCTGAATTGAATTCATAAAGGCCTATCAAGGAAAGTACTATCAAGGTAAAAACAGAAGAAGAGCCTTCACTATGCTTTCCAGCAGCAGGACCATCAAATAGTCACATGAACAAAGTGTTCCCAGGTGTCCTAGTTTGTTCTTCATTGCTGTGACAAAATACTCTCACCAAACCAACTTGGGGAGGAAAGGGTTTATTTTATCTTATAGCTCCTGGGTCATAGATCATCAGGGAGCCCAAGGTAGGAACTCAGGGCAGGAACCTGGAGGCAGGAGCTGGAGCACAGGCCATGGAGGAACACTGCTTACTGGCTTGCTCCCCTGGCCCCTGCTCAGCCTGCTTTCTTATGCAACACAGGCCCACCTGCTCAGGGGTGGCACC